AGAATGAGAGAGAGAGAGAGAGAGAGAGAGAGGCAAAAACATTATGGGAGACAATGTGAGATGTCGAGGGAATAGATATTATTATGTGGATGTATGCATTTTGGGGTAGATAGGTGGCTAGCCAATTACTTGATAGATAGACTGAAGCAAGAATATAGGCACTGACACGAAAGAGAGATGCAGACGCATAAAGTAGACGTGGATAGACGAACCGTTGCGCGTTTCATCAGAATAAAGAGGTAGAGCAATATGTGAATTCTGGAGAGAAGGCAGATGGACTTATAGACGGACGCAAGTAAGATAGACAGACAAGCCCAAGAGAAGAAGGAGAGAGAGAGAGAGACGCATGGGCAAGCAAGTGGTTAGGCAACAGGACTCACCGGGGGTAGAGAGAATAGCGGAGAGAGGAGGACAAATAGGCAGAGGGACGGACAGACTGGCTACAAACAGACAGAGAGGTTTATGTACACATGAATATATACAGACAAACATACTGATAGACATACAGGCAGACTGGGGATGGACAGAAAACTGGATGCTATGGAAGATATGTCCAGGTCCCTCTGACAGTAGCGCATATGTGGGCTCTACCGCTTGTCTGCTCACTCACCGCTCTGGTCTGCCCAGACGGCTGTGATGCCGCCAGAGCATCTCCATCTTCCACAGGTTTGCTACCTCGACTGACCGATCTCGTGGCCGTACATACCTACACACACACACACACACACACATGTGTGTTTACGCACAAATCAGTAAAACTCGGAAACCCCGATCGCCTAATTAGCACAATCCAGGCCTTTCGGATTTTCTTGAACTGATCTCCACTTCTCAGTGCGACCTCCAACCCACTGAACCTTAATTCTGGCATCAGCCCTAAATGAAACGCCAGGCTTCACCAGTTTGGGCCGTGTTTGCATTCGGTGGATCTAAGCCGGTGGGATCTGTGCTATTTGTGTGGATCATGATCCTCTTCACGAGACCGGAAAGTACAGCCTGTCTGACCGCCTTGGATACCGATCGTGTCTTCCTCAGGGCCCAATGCAAAGCAAAATGTCTTCTCCTGTTTCAGAAGAGCTCGGAGACCAATGCCACTTTGGTAAGTCACAAGTGACACATTTACGTTGAGGAGAAGTTTGTTTAATGGAGGCGGTAGATGCATACTGACATTTTCCAACTGAGCACCTAGTGCCGGCAAGAGTGTAGGTGCTCTAATGACAGTTTGATGGTATAGAGCCCCTACGGGTTAAACAAAGCCCTTGCGTTACAGTACTACTGATTAGACTACTGCTAGATCAGATTCGGGATATTTATTGCTCAGATATAATTTGCTGAAGAGCTGAATGCAATTCGTTATAGTAATTAAAATGTGGAGACATAAAACTGTTTAATAGTTACAAATTTGATTTATTTTTTAATTCATTTTTTACGTAATTTAACTTATTGTTTGTGCTACTCAAATCTGGTTATTCGTTTGTCATCGACAATCGTAACTCGTCGATACGAGTTTGTTGAAGACCAAGTCGCTTTAGAACCCACATCTGCCCTGACTAAGAAACTGTGTACCTGGGTT